GGCGAGAAAGATGGCTTCCCTATTAAAGGCTAGGCTTACAACCAAAAATATATTATACATTTTAAATTATTTTTCCTAACATTTTATGAAAAGCCAGTGGTTTGCCCTACCTTTAACAGTGGCTATGTGCTTTGAAAATAGATCATTATCAGGATCTAAGCGGTTGAACCTGGAGTGGTGCCTGACTCGTGATGCTGGCTGCACTGAAGATCACAAAAAACAGAATTTTCCTTAAAAATAAATCTAAAGCATGCACACACACACACACACACACACACACACACACACACAAATATAAAATAAAATCATGCATAGCCTAACTAAAATAGCCCTGTGGTTTTCTCTGTGTGTGTGTTTGCATTGCTGGGAACTGAAACAAGGGCTTCTCACAGGCTAAGCATACACTCTACCACCAACTCAGTAGTCACTTCTGGCATATTGCCTTTTTTTTTTCCTGTGTGTGTCCTTTTTTTAAATGGCCTTCACACCTGGTCTGTGTGTATTTAGTTTAAATTATTGTCTCCCAAGCATTTACTCACTCACGTCATAAACATCTCTTTTTCTAAGCAGCAGATAGCACACAGGGGCCGACTTGCAGGGGTAGGGGGAAGGGGAGGAATTGCCCTGAGGAGAGGGAAGGGAAGTGGCAGACACCTTGAGGATTTGGTCTGTTCCAGCCTGCCACAGCTGTGTTGACACCTGAGACAGAAGGTGACATTGGCCTTCCACGGGGGGCTGGGCAGGTACAGAAAGCGCCCCAGAGCACTATTATTTTCACCTTTTAACTGTCTTTCTCAGAATATCAAATCCAGAATCTTCCATGTGCTAGTCAGGTATTCTACATCTGTGCTAAAACACAGTCCAAAAAAACTGTCTGTCTGTCTCTCTCTCTTTGTGTGTTTGTCTGTCTGTTTTATTTAAGACAAGATTTCCTGTAGTGGTCCCTGCTGGCCTTGAACTCACTAGGATCCTCCTGTGCTAGGATTCGATTCGAGTCCAGTCCTAGATCCCAATGCCTGGTTCCTTAGAAGAAGTCTTTTGTTGTTGTTCCTGAATAGGGTCCTTGTTGTTGCTGCTGCTGCTGTTATTGTTATTGTTCTACAAACAGGCTCAGACTAGCTGAAGCTAGCCTAGGACTGAACTCCTTAAGTAGTCCAGATTAACCTTAAATTTAAGGTTATCCTCCGGCCTCAGTCTCCCAAGTGCTGGAAATTGGGGTGTAAGCCACCACACCCAGGAAGAATGACTTATTATTAGGGCCAGTAAGATGGCTCAACAGGTAAAGGCACTTGCTCCAAAAGGCTGGCAGTATGAGTTTGATCCCCAGAACCTACATGAAAGAGCAGATGTAGAGACCTGACCCTATAGGGTTGTCCTCTGGTCTGCATGTGTGTACTATGACATTTGTGCTACACACACACACACACACACACACATGCTAATTTTTTTAAACAAGAATGACTTTTAAAATAAAAATCATCAGAGGAGAATTCCCGTATTTTTTTACATGCGAGGAATGTTTGGAGTCAGGCGAGAATAACCGTTTGTCTCCCATATTTCTGACCACTCTACGACTATATCCTCAGGACTTTGCTCCCCTCACAGCCAATTTTATGATTCCAATTAAGCTGGTATCTCAGAATAGCCCAGCCCTTGCTGATAACAGCCTTTCTGGCTACTTCCTGGGGACTCCCCTGCTTAGCCCCTCCCACCTCCGCGTGGCGGTGAAAGCTTCCTCCTCTTCTAAAGCCTGCTTTTTCTGCTCCCACGTGCTTTGTCTGCTTTTCCTATGTAAACCCCCGCCCCAGTCCCCTCTTCCAGCTAATCCTACAATTTGGTCCCCATCGCCACCCTCAGTGTCCTGCCAAGGAATGCTAGGCCCCTCAGCTCTAGCCTCAAAACCTGCCCTGCGTATCTAACTGGGCTCAACTGCTGCTTCTCCGGCATGCTGCCACAGGCTCCACTCCCTGTCCCCAAACACGTCCTGCAATTCCCTAACTTCGTGTACTCCTTCCAGCAGAGACTAAAGGCCAGCTCTGGGCAAGCGTAGAAATACCACTCTGAGGAATCCAGATATGCACAGCCTGAAGGTCATGGTTGTGAGTGGGAGGCAATTCAAAATAAGAGTGTAGGCCATCACCACCTCAGGGGACTTACCTACCGGCTTGGTTCTTCCGTTTTCCTGCCTATAAATTGGACATAGCTTACTTTTTGGTGAAGTTCTAATGAGGTCTAATAGTCCAAGAGTGCTACGGCAGAGTCGATATTAAATATTCACAGCTTGGTACTTCCTTTCTTAGCCTCAGTTCTCAGAGGGCTGGTAATTCGCCTGCAGAAAGGACGGAACAGGTGCTGTGCAGGGTGTAAACAAGAGCCCCGAGAATCCCAAGAAGATGATGACCTTACAAGACAGAATAGCACGCCTGTGTCCGAGGAAAGTGAGTTGCCAAAGTGCAGACACAAACAAGGAAACTGAAACCTGGCAAGGCAGACCTCTCTCTCCCTCCCCTTCATCCTCTGGAGCCTTCCTTGCTCTCAGCTTGGGCCTGCAAGCCCTCTCACTGCCCACACCCCTCTCCCGCTTTGTCTTTTCCCGATTTTGCCATATAAGGCATTTAGTTCTCAATCTACTCTCTGCTCACAAGAACAAGACTCTCCAACGGTTTGTGTACATGCTGAATGTCTTTGAGACCACAGTTCGGCTCCTTCAGCAGTGTTCCCCCAAAGCATATGTTTAATTCTGGGGATCAGAATCTGGTGACTTGCAAATGCTGAAACTTCTGGCAAAGAAATTGTGAAATCGGTTGCAGGTCAGATAGGAGGAGTTCTCGTGCAGACAGAGGCATCTTCTTGTGCCTTAACAGGGAAGGTGTATGCTAGAAAATAATTAATCTCACATAATGACAAGGATGGATTCGGGAGGGAAAGAAGCAGAAAGGAATGAGCCTTCGTGGGCAGTCCAGAAGCCAGGTGAACAACACCCACACTGAAGAAGTAGGAAGGGACAGAACAAACATTCCAACAGAGTTACCGCAGAGTGACTCCTTTCAAGGTCAACAAAAGACCTGAGAGACTTCTGCAGAGGCAGGGGTGAGAATTCAGGTGGCCTTCCAGGAGAACTGAGTGTTCACAGATACTCTATAGGCACTGATGAGTAAAAGTACTATGTGCAAAATTATTGAGTATGAGCCATTTGTCTGCCTGTGTACACAAACATATGTGTGTCGATATATCAATATATTAAATTGAAAGACATACGCCAAGTATATATCAAATTGTGTTGAGGAGGTCACCCACTAATCTTACCTAATTTACATAATCCTGTGCTTCATGATCATTTTTTAAATATATTTTCATTAATTATTTGACAACTCTGTACATGCATGAAATCTATTTTGGTCATATAAGTATGTACTGTAGATAATTTGAATACCCGAAATGAAATTTTTTTTATAAAAGAAACATCAGAAATTTAAGTTTGTTGCTTGAACTCTTCTGATACCAAATAGGTACACACTGAAATTTGAAGGTGGTGAGATGGTTTAGTACACTGGCAGAGACGCTTGGACACAGGTTCGAGTTCAACTCCTGGATCCAATAAGATGTCAAGATACAACTAATTCTGAAAGTTGTCCTCTGACCTCCACATGCACAGACACATGTGCAATGCACTTGAGCACACATGTGTAAAGTCAGACACACACATTCATGATAAAAATAAATATTTAAATATTTTGAGTGCAAGGGCTAGAGAGATGGCTCACTGGAGAAGAATGCTTGCTGTGGAGATACCAGGACCCGAGTCTGTGTCTACTACCCATGTAAAACACCATAAATGGCTGCAAGTATCAGCAACCCTAGCAATGAGAGGTGGAAACGAGCGGCCTGACTTGTTGAGCAGCCTGCTTATCTGAAATAGTGAGCATCCAGGCCAGGAAGAAACCCTGTCTCGAGGCACTAAGGCAGACAGCAACAGAAGTCACAACATCCGTCTCTGGTCTCCACACACACTCATAGACATGAATGCACACCACATCCGTCTCTGGGTCTCCACACCAACAAATGGACATGAATGTACACCACATCCGTCTCTAGCCTCCACACTAACATATGGACAAGAATGCACACAGCGTTCATCTCTGGTCTCCACATACACTCATGGACATGAATGCACACAGCATCCATCTCTGGTCTTCACATACACTCACGGACATGAATGCACATGGCATCTGTCTCTGGTCTCTACATACACTCATGGACATGAATGCACATGGCATCTGTCTCTGGTCTCCACACTAACACATGGACATGAATGCACACAGAATCCATCTCTGGTCTCCACATACACTCATGGACATGAATGCACACACACACACTCATGTGCATGGACCACAACACTCACAGTCACACAAAACAAATTTTTAAAAATCACGTACAGTTTACCGGTTCCTGAAAATTAAACAAGTTGACCCTTAATTTAGGAATGAGATGAGTTTAGGAGGATGTGTTTCAAATTCAGAGAGTGTATTAATTCAGTAGTGAAGCCATTGTCACACACAGACAAAGAGTCAGGAGGCCACGTCTGAGTAGTGAGTGGTGACAACATCAGCAGCCTCCACCATGTGATCTCCCAGGGTTAAAGGTTAAAACCATGGGCATTTTTCCACAAAGACACTCACATTTGTCTCATAGCTTTCTAGCCATGTGAAAGGATGGCCGAGATGGCCAAAGTGATAAAAACGAAGCTAATAATAAACCTAGCATTGCAAGCACAGTGGTCCCAAGCAAGCTATTAATAGTACTTTTAAAAGATTATTTTCTGAAGAAACAATAAAAAGTGATTCGACACCGGATCGGCCTCGATTTCCGTGGGTATTTGTAGCACAAATGAGACTTGGCATGTTACTATTTCCAGACGAAGACCATCATTATTCGGAATTCTTCCAGATGCTGATACCGCCCGCGTTCTAACTGTGCCGTGATTTTTAATATCTTCCCAGGAGCCAGTTCAACGGACTCTGACAGTGAAAGCTTACCTTTCCTATCAAAAGCTGGAGCTATGCCACAGTGAGTGTCTTTGAGTCCCTGGATAGTCCCTGTGACAAGGAAGGGTAGCAGCTGCTGGGGTTTGAAGCCAGGTGTGCTGGACGGGGAGAGGTCAAGCCATGTCGACCAGAGATCGAGTGCTTGCCACTGGGACATGATTTTCGACTTCACATGAGTTAAAATGGTGGGAGTCTGTATTTCATCATGAGTATGCCAAAATCGAGCCAGCTGCTGCGTTAGCTCAGAGGCAGCCAGTGGACCGACAAGACGGGTCACATTGAGGGTAAAACCAGTTCGGCTACTGTGAAGGTGTGAATGAGGACCAGCAATGTCTTAATTAGGCCAGGAAGTGGTTTTCTTTCATGTAAAAATCTTTTGCTAGTTAGACCTTATATCTGAAAAGGCCAGAATTTGCTTATCCCTGCAGAGACATGGGTTACTCATGAAATGTTACTGTCCCCTTCATTTTGCCAAAGCATATTCAAGTCTACCTGAGTTTGGGGGAAAGCTCCATTAATGCTGAGATGTGCTAACAAGTGTTGTAATTTCCTAGTAAATACATAACACTTGTATGCAATAAAAACTAATCTCCCTCTTTAGTTTCTTACACATTAATGCACGTACTGTAGTGTAAGGCTATTGCAATAACAAAATAATCATATCTAGTTTGAAAAGTCGAGTCCATTCAGCATCAGGTAGTCACAGATAGTAAATGAGCTTCTGCTGCGTGCACTTCACCTGTCCTGATTTAACTTAGAATTCGGATCAAGACCTACACCCTCTAGGCCAACATGAGCCTGGAATTTGACTCCTCTAAATCCTTCCCTTCCACCGCACTAAAACTCTGAGCACGAAGACAAAAATTCCAAGCTCCTGTCAACAAAATTAGAAGCCAGCACAAAGGACAGCTGTTAGCCCCCAAATAAACACAAAAACCGAGTCAACTATAGGACCCTAACCATAAAGATGTCAAATATTTGCTTACTGATAAAGACTGAAGAGCTTTCCCTGTTTTTATTTTCTCTTGAGATTTTTTAAGGATAATACCTTAAAAATCTTTATGAGTGTAAGATGCCTCTGGCTGCTTTTCTTTCATCTGTGTGTTTAGTACAGTCCATTCTGTCTACGCGCTGGCCATGCAGCTCTTTTAGCTGTCTGTTTTTAACAAACTCCAACTTCTGAAATAAATTTTAATAGAAACAGACTGAGTCTACAAAAAAAGAAAAATGAAAAAGAAAAGGAAAGGAAGGGGGGGAACCTGGGCCTTTTGTAAGATTATTTTAAAGAAAAATTGCTGATTTAGAAAAAAAAAAACCTAACTAATTAACACGTGATTCTTCATTTTCCAGAGCTCAAAAGAAAACAACTTCTGTTTCCTTGACGATAGGATCCTCATCCCCCAAGACCGGAGTGTCCACAGCTGTGATTCAGCCTTTATCTGTGCCTGTGCAGCAGGTAAGTGTGCCTCGGGCCTGCGAGGAGCTGAGTTCGGGAGCAGGCTGCCTTGTTTCAGGAGTAGTATTCGGTTCCAACTGACACACTCCCTTGAAGGATTTTCTGAGTAAAAACAGTGCTCGAAGGAAGGAAACCCCATGGCTAATGGTCTCATTTTAGTTCATGAAGAGTAGTCTGTAATCAAAAGCACACAGTACGTCAGCAGCTACGTTCGTATGGCCCTGAGAGGACGATGGTATCTGCCTTAGCTCTGTGTGGACTCCAGTGTGTGTCCTCTGTCCTTTCGTCCAGTTAGCCCGTCTCATTAGCTTATCTAGAGAGACCGGGAAAGGTCACACACCAACAGGAACTGTCTCAGCCTCTTCAGCCTCTGAAGGCCAAACAGTATTGCTTAGAAAAAGACAATTCCAAGTCTTTGATTTCACTATGTTGGTTTAAAATACTGGTTTAAGGTCAGCGTGAGACGGCTGGGAAGTAATTGTAGTGAGCTGAACTTGCAAACACCATCAGCATGATTTTTTTTTAAAAAAAATAAATGTATCTAATAATTGATGTGACCTAAATCTTTAAGTGCAATACTTGTGGAAGGCTTTCCTGACGCTCTTGGTAGGTACATTCATCCCTAGTGAAGACAATTGTCTCATGTGCGTCCCTATGTTTTCCATCGACTTTTATTACCCATAATATCACCTATAATCATTACAGTAACTACTTCATGCCATTCATACTTTGTAACATGGAGAAGATAAAATCAGTAGAGAAAAGACGTGTGTGTATTCATAAACTTGAGAAGAATCAACAAGGATAAGTGACCCAGAAGTGGCAGACACAGTAAACAGTTCCTTCAAACCACTGAACCAGAGTTGCATTTGTAAAACTATCTCTGATCAAATCCACGGGCAGTTTTTGTTCAAGAGGTTGACTTCTAAATATTGGCATGAAATTGTTTGAATGCTAAGCACTGTGCTAGACACTTGACAGCAGAGAGAAGTCATCAGCCCCATTCCTCCCCAGTTCACAGACTCGTCTGAGGGAGAACCTAAGAGACTTCTTAACATGGTTGAACGTCCTGTGAAATACAGAACAGAAAGACATACGTTGACATAGAGACACAAACACTATCTCGTATGTGCGCAGTGTGTTTCACGTGATTTTATTTCTACAGGAACACTGAGTGATATCACCTCGCTTGCAGATGTGACGTGCCCATCATTTCTTCCTGGCAGGCAATGAGACAGAAAGTTTAACACTTGCGAGTCAGAGGGCCTGGGTTCGAATCCCAGCTCTTACTAAAGGGACTTTTGCGCAAACAGTGTCTCTGGGCCTAATTCCTTCATCTGCAGAATGGAGACTATAGTACCAGCCATCTCTCATTGGTGGCATGAAGTCTCTGAGTTGGCCTTCATAAGAAATTAAAATGATATCTGTCATGGATATCAAATGTCTATATATTCTTTGGATGTCAAAGATTGTGAAAAGTGAGACACAGACCTCCCAAATGACAAGCCAGTAAAAAGTCTTTCAGTGAATAAGGTCCGTCACTGCTGTAGTGTCTTCACAATACTGTAGTGTCTGGGGTGTATGAGACACATCGTATCAGATCCTATCGATGTATAAGTGAATAAATTCAGATTACTTGCAAGTAAGCAATTTAATGCACTCAAAAATTGTCATTCACTACTTTTTATTTTCCATTCACAATTCTGGAAACTTTTCCTTCCTCTGAGATGAATGCTATTCAGTAATCTTTTTGGGGCCTTGAGCTTCTGATACATCAGTAAGTGAGTTTCATTTCTTTTCCCCATATTTTCTGCTCTCCTTTATTGAAAGTGTTCACATGAAGAATAAGACAGGCAGATGTTTTCATAATTTACTTTGCCCTTCATTGCCAATCACTTATCTTTTTGATTCAATGAATCCAGACTGTATTTTAAAATAAAATATAGCGTCTGTGAGAACTTCTAAACAGACCCCTGTGGAAGTCCCACACACAGAAATCCATTTGGTAATAGCATTTAAAAGCTCTCAGATTCCCCCAGGACCCGGGGAACTCTTACCTCCAATATCCTATTGAACAGAGAAGAGTAACACATGTGGAGAGGGGAGCAGAACAATGTCTGTGCTGTAAGAGTAGACTCGCGGGTGATGTATGGTGCTACCTTCGTACACTCGGTTCATTCAAGTGGAGCAATCCCCATAATGAAAGGTTTCTTTAGCCCATCTTTTCAGAGATTTATACATCGAGAATCCGATCCATGTGTCTCTCCTCTTTCAGGTTCACAGTCCGACTTCGTATCTCTGCCGACCTGATGGAGCCTCCATGGGCTGTCTTCTTCCTGTTTTCACTAAGGTCTGACATCTGGAAGTCTCATTCTCCATGTTTGCTTTAGTCCTTAAATTTCGTTCACATATGACTTTCTGTAGCAGCCTTTAAGATTTGAAATGAAGATATTAATAGGCAGATCATCGTGGTTACCTTAGGGGATAGGTGGGTATTCGTTGAATAATGACTGTGTGGCTGTTTTCCTATGCAAGGTTTGAGAAAGATGACTGTGAGCAGGTAAAGCCAGATGTCTGATCTAACGGGAAAGCCAGGAGAGGTAGAAATAACAAGATAGAATTCGGTATTTAAATCTTTTCTTTCTAACTGGGCTTGGTAGCATATGACTGTAGTCCCAAAAGTTAGAGGCAGAGGTGGGAGGATATTTAGGAATATTTAGGAATTTGAGGCCAGGGTTGGTCTGTACAATGAATCCCAAGAATTAATCCATCTTCTTTTTTTTTACTCCCAATGAAATCTCATAAAAGATCTAGGAAGCTTTATAGAAAAAAATACAAGCAAGCAAGCAAACAAACAAACAAAAAATTAATTTTCCATTTGGTTTAAGTTGGCAATTTACACTGCCAAGTGGAGTGAGCCTCGTGTCATTGGGTGGCTGCAGGAGTCAGGAACCAGTCCACGCGGATTCTCTTTCTTTCTCTTTGTTTTTGGAGAAAAGTCTAAAGCTTAATTGGAAGACATTTTAAAAGGTCAAATAAGAGGAAAGCTAGGCCATTTGCATGTCAAAAGACTAAGGAAGCCATTAATTTTCAGATATAGCTAATGCGAATGTAGCTGAATTCCCAACAAGTTTCTTGTTTCTATCCATTTGTTTGATATAGAATTTAGCAACCTGGATCTAAGAGTTACATTATAAAAATAAAAATATATGTGTATACAGAGGGCTACAAATAGTCAGGGTCCTACTGAGGATATAAACAGGGCAGTGTTAAGGAAGAAGTAAATTTATCCTATAAGATGTCAAGGCTTCCTAAAGGTATGATAGTTATAATAAAAGTAGAGCACTCCTAATTTGAAATGTTTTAAAACAAGAGCATTGACTGTAGTCTTGAGTGGAAAATCCTATAGGTGGCCTCATGTGTCAAAACCCAGTCAATACACAGGTATACTAAAACCACTGTCTAAATTTTCCTTGGGACGTGTATGTGAGGTATTTAGAAAACATTAATGAATTTCATGTTTGCTTGTGTCCAGTCTTAGTGTGCTTTCTGTTGTTGCAATAAACAACACGATCAAAAACAACTTGGGGAGGAAAAGGTTTATTTGGCCTTCACTTCCAGGTCTTGATTGACAGAAGTGAGGGCAAAGACTCAAAGCAGAAGTCAAGGGACTATTTCTGCTCACTGACTAGCTCCCTAGCTTCTGCTCAGAGAGTTTTCTTATACAGTCCACGACCCCTTGTAGAGAGGGTGGTATCACCCACCATGGCCTGGACCCCATCCTGTGTGAATTAGTAATCAAGAAATGCCACACTTGCCTGCCCACAGGACCCTCTGATGGAGGCAATCCCTCAACCGAAACTCACTCAGGTAGTTTCTAGGCCGTGCCAAGTTGGTAGCAGACGCTAACGGGGAAAGGTCCTATGCCCAAGATCGCCCCATGCCTTGCCAACATCCCAATTTAAAAAAAAAATACCAAATCCAAAACACGTTCAGACAAAGGCACAAATTTCATCAAATTGCTGAGGAGACAGAACAGCACCCACAGAGATATTCCAATAACTGCGGGTGCAGAGAGATCACTTAGGGACACAATGAATCCTTCAGTGGGGTTCAAAGGAATTTTCTTTTTAAATTGGACTCCACACTTATCACAAGAATAAATCCCAAGTAAGCTGAAGATAAATGAGTAAACAAAACCATAAAACTTCTGGGAGGACGCCTGAGTGGCCCACGCCTGTCATCTCTGCCCTCAAGAGGCTGCTAAGGGCTGCTGTGAGTTCAAAGCGAGCAAGGGTTATGCTTTGAGTTCCAGGTAAAGCTAGACTGAGGAGGGTGAACCTTCCTCAAGAGAGAAAGAGAGACAGGAGAAGGAATGTCTGTCAGGGGACAGCAAAGGCAGCTTTATTATCTCCGTGTAGGGAACGCTTTTATTTTGACTTCTAAGCCTGACTTGGTGAATTCCAAGCTTAATAAAAACTGCTTCCAGAGCTCTCCCCCTGTTTCCAGTGAGCACAGAGGACACATTCGAATGGTTGAGCTCCCCTCCAAAAACAGCTAACAACAATAAAAGTAAAGGAAGTCTTTTAAGTCCCCGAGAAACCTAAGCCGGTAACGTCGGTGACATTTTCCTCAGATGCTCTGAGCACGGACCACTTAGATGTGAGGCTGTTCACAGCCAATACAAAGTGTAAGGGTTTTCACAGCCAACATCTCAAGGGCATCCCTGGAAGACTGTGTTCCTTCATGCTTGATTTGGGGGCAGCTGAGGTCAAACACGCCTCTTTTCTGGCTTTATCTTTGTTTTGTTTTATTTTGTTTCCTTGGAGACATGATATCACTACATAGCCCAGGCTAGCCTCCTACTCACACTCTTTCTGCCTCAATTTTCTCAGTGCTGGGGCTCCAAACATGCACAGCTGTGCCCAGCCTTCCCAGGACTCCTCATTTAAACAGATCACTCCATCAAGCCCATGCGGGGGACACAGGAGAAAGAAACATGGATGTGTCGTTTGTTGTTCCGCACCACGAGGTCCTGGCATCTGTAAATGTGAGCCATTCCCCCCTGGACACCAAGAGGGTCCTCAAAATCTAGAACTGAAACCTCAATTTCTCCATTGTAGTACAACTGCTAGGGCACAGACACTGTCAACGGTCATTCTTTTATCACCACCGCCATCACCACGAACACAGCCATCTCCACCACCTCCACTACCTCCACCAACACCACAACCACCACCTCCATCATCACCTCCACCACCACCTCCACCTTCACCACCTCCACCACCACCACCTTCACGCAAATCAAATCACGAAGTGTTCTAAGTACTAACATGACTGAAAACTAGTTTTTACTGTATGTTGGTTTTTAAAAAAATCAAAGAGAGAGCATGTGGAAGTAGTGTGTGCATCTCTGCCCTCTGACCTGGTATGTGGTGCAGTATGCCTGCATTCTGCCCTTCCCTGTGTATGCTTTTTCCTTTTCCCCAATAGGCAGCTTCTCTCTGGCTCGCAGCATCCTCTTTAGACCAGGTTTAGTGGATCAGGTTTAGACGATGATCCTGTATTAGCTCCTGACTCAGATGACCCTTGGACTCATCGCCCTGAGTCTTTTCTCTGGCATTCCTCTTGTGCATGGCGGTGACAGGGCATGACAAGGTGGGCTTTTCCTACCCAGGGAGTGCATCCACCTATGTCCTCATGTTCCTCTAAAGATTCCCAACACACTGTACGCGTGGGAATCCTACAGGAGCCTGCTTGGCTGCCACAGCAGAGTTGGTAAGGACTGTGAGACTGTGGGCAACCAGGATGTTCACAGGATGGCCACTCCAGGGGACTTTTCTTCCCTTGGACCCTTCCGAGCAATCACAATGCCAAGTCAGCATTATCTGTGATGAAAGGTCTTTATATGGATCCTGAAGCATCCAGCATTCCCAGATGTGACCCTGAATGATGATGCAGATGACTAAGCAAGCCTCTGAACCTCTGAACGTTGATCCTCATTATTTTGAGGTCTTCTATGTATGCTCCTGAACGCTGTCTCAATGAGTTACTGAGCTTAATCATTCATCATGCACATGGGTGCATGTATATGTGCATGTGTACATGCATGTGTGTGTGTGTGTGTGTGTGTGTATGTGTGTTGTTACAGGAGAGGGTAAGCTGTAAGCAAAATCTGGGAACAATTAGATTTCTGCCTTTGTCTCAGGCATCCACTCATTTGCTACACTCTTGTTTTCAACCACGACAAAAGGAAAAAAATAGCCACATGATTTCAGGAATAAATCTAATCTCCTTTGATGCCTAAAAGCCCAAACAGGAAAAATATTTGGGTGTCATTTGTTATGTACCAGAAATGGCTTCCTGGAACCATTTCATAGATTGGCCCATAGAAGCTGGACCGCACACTGTGCTTTTTGAAACACTAAATTAACTCATCTCTGACTACAATCATAAACTACAAAACATTTACTTAAGAGCCAGAGACTGTCTAGGGCCAGCAAGATGTCTCATCTGATAAAGGCACTTTCACCAAGCCTGACTTCATTCCCTGGGACCCACGGGGTAGAAGAGGAGATCCAGCTTCTGGAAGTTGTCCTTTGGCATGTGTGTACCACAATCCCACACACAGTGAACAAACAAATACAGTAAAAAATGAAGAAAGACATTTAAAGCCATCTATTTTCTACACTTATGAATATAAATAGAGAAAGGAATGCAATCATTAGTTGATTTTTTTTTAGAGTCTCACCTAGCCCAGGCTAGTCTCAAACTCTCAATATAGCTAAGGATGACTTTCAATTTCTGATTGTCCAGTATCTACTTCTGTCTGAGTTGTTAGGATTAAAAACATGAGCAACTACCCTTAGATTTTTTTGGTGCTGGTATTTCATACATAGTGAGTAAGCTCTCTACCATCTAAGCTACATCTCCAACAAACGTAGTTGATAACCTTAAATTTACATTATATATATATTTCTTATTTATTCTTGTTTACTACCAAACAAGATATTTTCCTTCCACTTTTATAATTCATTGACAATCACAATAGGCTTTTAGAATAGCCACAGCGCTTTAACACATATCCTAAGGACATATACTGAAACATTATTTTCTCCATTTGCTGTAAGATTTGCGACTAGCTGTTTCTCCCCAGACCTTTAAAACAAAACAAAATAAACCTGTTCAAAGTCTACACCCTTCCTAATGAATTCTGTGTTTTTTAGCTTGTTTATAAGTACTTTTTTATCGTGATTTAATTATTCCAAAAAACCCACCCACTTTCTAAGGTATCTAATGGTCTAGTCAAATCCTCAAATGATCTGAAAGTGTCAATAGCACCCATTACTAGCTAATCTTGGAGGAGGGACGTGGAGCCAGGGCGGCGTATATAAGGGAATTTTTAGCATTCTGGCATTTAATAACAAGCATCCAAACTTCACCTCTTTTGCATCCATCCCACTAAATTAATTTATCTTTGGCATCATAAGCGTTTATTAGTGTGCATTTGGAGAGGGTAAGGCAATGAGGCAGTTACAAGGGAAGTGGAAACCAAGGTCAATAAGGACGACAAGCAGCCAGTTTTATCATTTGACTCAGAATCTTGAAAAGGAAAAATGCCAAACCACTTAACCTCATAAACTGGACCTAAGAGACTGGTCAGGCAGAGGTGGGGGTCCATGGACGGGTGGGTACCTGCTGAAACTCTTGAGTGGCTTTTTTCTCTTATCTGGCTTCCCTAAGGATCGGCAGTCATTTGGAATCGAATTGTTTGCAAGCCTTGCACTCCAGCAGCTTACCATTAAATGTAGATAAAGGAAAGCGGCAGCTGTTACACCAAATGCCACAAACAATAAGGGTCGGTGCAAATCTGCAAACAGGGGCTGGACAGGCCTTATGGTAAACTCTCCGAATCTCACGGCCGGGAGACCTTGAAAAGCTGGCGGCCGGTGGTACTCGTCCTCACCTGAGTTCATGCTGGTTATTTTCCGACCACCCTCTCAACGTGGAGGTTTTGTTGCCTCTGTGTTTGGGGTTTTGTCTAAGGGTTGGCGTCTATCTTCTCTGTGGTGAGACTGTTTACAGAGGTGGGAAGTCTGAGGAGGTCCGCTTGCTTCTTCAATTTCAGGAACTACAGAACATAGCAGCCTCCGAGGGCCAGGTGGTGGTCCTGGAATGCCGGGTCCGCGGCGCACCCCCGATGCAGGTCCAGTGGTTCCGGCAAGGGAGTGAAATCCACGACTCTCCAGACTTCAGAATTCTCCAGAAAAGTAAGAAGAGGTGTCGGTTCTCCCGAATTTAGTTTGATTTCCCCTGGTTTCACAGGAACTGGAAAGGACTTAGATGAGCTATTTTATATTTTCGAAGTGGGATGAGACTAATATAGTCTGTAATGTGCAGGGTATAAATGAATCTGCGTAATTCAGCCCCTCTCTTTCCCCTCCCGTTTCTCACAACACCTTGTAAATGTGGGATCCAGCGGACCGCTGTGATTGTCCAGCTACAGATGAAAATACTGATGTGAATGCCGATTTTCTAGTTCCAGCTTTCTATACCGTTCTGCGACTGCTGTTGACCGCACAGTGTTATGCTGTTTATCAACAGGACTGCCTAAAAGAAAATGAAAATTTCCTTAAAATAATGCCTTCAAACTGCCCCTTCCTTGTTTGTTATATGGCAAGACACTGCCTGCATTAACGAGGCCAGCAGTAGATGCCCTTTTTTTGTTCAAGGTGTTTTGTAGAGTTGACAGTTAATTCTGGAACTTTCCGCACAACCCCTTCCAAAATGCTACTTGTGAAATAGACCAAAGAATTAGTCTACCTCATTTTTATGGGAAAAAAACCCACAGTGGCCCCTTTGAAGTGGATGAAATCTATAGATCTTTCCTTTAGAACAAAAATTCCCACATGCTCGCTTATTTGGCAAATCATTTTAAGAGGTTCACAAGTCGGAAGTCTGTCTGGAACTACAGTGTCTTACACTTCCTAGGGCCCAGTGTTTCTGCATTGTGGAAATGTAAACTGAGTGACAACTGCCTTAACCCTGTCTTGTGCAGAGGTGTGGTCCTGACCACGTCCACACACACGGCCTAGCCAAAAGCCATGGGAGCAAGGCGGTAGGTTAATTAGCCCCAGATCCTGTTCTAATGCTTGTTCCATTTTTTTTTCTCTTTTCTCATGCTAACAGAACCTAGATCGGCATCTGAGCCCGGTAAGCACTTTCTCCTGCTGGGGGTAATGTATCTCTGGGGTTTCAGTAGGTCTTTGTTTCTATTTTAAAACCACATGCCACATAGAGCGATGTTTTTGCAATTCCTTAGAAACATGAAACCGTCTTCCAAACAATGTCTCCTTTATCATGGGGTCTGTGCATTGCAATCCTCATCATCTTTATTAGTAAAACATGCTGCTCAGACCAGAAAGCTGGGCTTGGTGACTAGGCTTTGTCAAATATAGCCTTTTATACTCAGAAGGCTAAGCTAGACGTGTGACCCAAAAGAAAACCTTTCTAAAATACCGGTAGAAAAGAGAAATTTATTGCAGGTGTTTGCTGACCAAAACCCACTGTAAGACAGTCTGCAGCTCAGAAAGTACCCGAGAGCCCAAAGACTTGACAGAGTGAGCCCTCAGGTGTCGTGTGTGTGTGTGTGTGTGTGTGTGTGTGTGTGAGTGTGTGTGTGTGTGTGTGTGTATGCTCGCGCGCGCACGCTGTAAACTTTCACTGTTCCACAAGCATGAAGAATGTCACCATGCCCTGGGATCTCTTCATTCCTGGGTCATCTGACCTCCCCCAAGTGCTCTGTGATCCAGGAGTGTGGGGGACAACTGTTCTCTACCTTTGACCTCTTGTATATTTATGACTTCCCGTGAACCCAGAAATTGTGTGTCTAGGTATTTTATAGTACGCCCCCCCCCCACCTGAAGATTGTTTTCTTTTGTATTTTTCCCATCAGAAAAGACATGGTCCCACTATTTCTTCACAAAGGTTAAAAAAACATGACATCTTCCTCTTTCTCCTGTTTATGCTTCTGCTACAGCAGCAAGCAGATCCTGCCAAATGTGTCTTGGGAACCATGGCCCTGCCCTGACCTTTGCCTGGGAATTCGAAGGTCCCTGTTGGCTCTGGCAGGTCATGGTACTGGGCTCTGCCCCTGAGCCTGTCACATCTGAGTATCAGGTCATTAAAAGCAGTGCTCTCTTATGAGGGCTCAGAGTTAAAAGGATGCTTCTTAATGTCCTTCGGGAATGACTGTATTGATCTGTTGGCTTCTGAGTTACAACTAGAGCATTCGTTGTACGAGTCACCACATCAAACACCACAGTCACTTTCCAGGCTGTGGAAACAGACCGCTTTATGCTTTGTTTGTGATAGGTCTTTGTATACACATGAAAATGCTAGGTTCCCAATGTATGGAACGTCTGTGGATAAATCCTTTGTATGAGCGCATATGGGAATCACATAGGTGGTAAGGGTGCATCTTTTGTCTTTACTGTTTCAAATAGTAGCAGGTAGACAGATGATGGATGAGTAGGCATAGTTTTATAAAGGGCAAATTGAATATTTCATTTGGTCACTATGTATAATATATGCAAGTTATCTCTTTCAGCGGAAACATCTTAGGCCCAAATTAAAAAAATTGGAATGTGTTTGAGCTTATTTTGATATTGTACTTTGTACTTGGGACAATATATACAGTTTTCTTTGTTGTCTTCATCTACTGAGGTTTATGATGATTTATCAGATATCTCCTATAACCAAGGTCGGAGAAACATAAGTTAGCTACCATGTTAATTTTCAAATTATTTGTTGCGATTGCATGGTTTAGTTTTGAGCACATGTGTCTTTGAGTTTTGAAAACATTCTGACTAAGGCGGGGAGGGGAAGCGCCTGTTGTGTTAAATGTGAGGCCCTGAGATCTAATCCTGTAAATCCGTACAAAAAGAAAAAGCTGGACGTGGTAACAGTAACTCCAATGATGGGCAGAGCAGGAAATAAAAAAACATGGGTTTCTGAACTTCATTGACCAACTAGCCTAGCCAAATCCATGAGATTTATATTCAGTGAGAGATCCTAGTTCAAGAAGTAAAGGAAGGTAGAGGGCTCCATGATCCTGGTTTGGCTCCTAGCAACCACATGGTGGCTCATAATCATTTATAACTTCAACTCCAGGGGTTACAATGCCCTCTTCTGGTCCCCGCAGTCATTTTACACACATGGTGCACGTACAAGCAAGCAAAATACTAAGACATATAAAATTAAGATAAATAAATCTTTGAAAAGATATAAATAAATAGATAGTATGAAGAGCAATCAAGGAAAGACACCCAATGCCAAATTCTGTTTTCTACAACATGCACACACAGGTGCACACACCCACACTAACAAACTCATAGATACACACACACACACACACACACACACACACACACACATCAAAAAGGCAAAGAAAACATTCCCAATATATTCTCAGCAGTATTAGCTGAGGAAGGTAATGGCAACAGCCCCCACCCCGCCTCCAATCTCTCCCCACTCCTACTGTTTACAGTCTTTGTCCCAGTTATGGCTCATTTTGCTTTTAGGAAACATACGTTTGATCATGAGCTACTTAATAAAATTCGTTCTGGATGTTCCAGACCTGTTGGATTCACTTAAATGTCTTCTGAGTGAGCACAGAGACGCCATGGCTGAAAGCTGAAGGCACGGAAGGCACTCCTCTTCTGCAATTCACCCGAGCAGTGTATACAAGATTTTCCTTACCATGTTTGCTGAATTCCCTTATTTTTCTCTTCCCTTTAATTATGTCTGAAAGTATTTTAAGAGACCAGAACCCCCCATCACCACCATAATAACAGCATCTGGTAAAAGGAAGTGTACCTTGGCAGAGAAATCTTTCAAGAAAATCTGTCACTATAAGAAAATAATGTAGGCAGGAGCTATTAGAAGGAAGACGAACTCTCCTCACAATCTTACCACACCGACTAGAGTAGCTCCTTTCATTTTCCCAAGGGGAGATTAATACACTCCACTTTGGGAAGCCCACACTTGACATACAGTATTAAATAAAATCTGTGGTCATAGTTTTTAACATAAATTTAAAAAATGAACACAGGAGTGACTTCCTGCGACTGCTTGTGCGAGTTGGATGGACTATAAACCCAAACGACAAATCAAAGTTTAGTGCGCCTAACAAAAGTAGGTGTGATTTATTTCCTAATTTCCAAACGTTTCCCTGGTGCTGACCTTGAAATCTCCAGAGAGAGAGAGAGAGAGAGAGAGAGAGAGAGAGAGAGAACGTGCGTGGGAGGGGGCATGTGTGTGTATATTCAGATAACTTACTTCTCTTACACGACCTGACTGATTCCTAGATCTAAGCTGCCACTGGTATATTCATCTACATAAAATGGATGTGGGGTCTGGATCTGAGTTTTAGCCGCTGTTAGGTTGAAACAGAGAAGCACACATAACTACAGCACATCCGAGACAAGAGATAAATTTTATAGGACTCGGTCGGTGATGGTTTCCAAGTGCTGAAACATAAATAGCCTTTGAAATTTGGGACAATATCTAAACAGATTTTTATTGCTCTCTCGTCTCTTCCTCTGTCATAGTTGCTCTCTCCTGGTCTCTCGTCTGTCTCTCTCTGTCCACATCCTTCCTTCCCTCCCTTTCTCATTCCCCACCAGCTCCCCCGCTCTTCTTATCTATTTTTCCTGTTCAGCCTCCTTATTACTGATGGGTAAGATGCTTCAAGTCTTTAAAAATAAAGTGGAAATTCCCTAGGATCTAGATATGGGTCCATTAGGATTAGATGTTTAGATAAAGAAGGGACTAGCTGGGTCCTTCCCCCGTGCCTTTGTGCATCTGGAGCAGGCTTTCCTCGTCAGGACTGCGCTGCGCTGGTCTAATGTGTTTTGCACTCCCCTCTCTGTCTAGACAGGAGTCGGCTTCATCACAAATCTTTTCAGACTGTTTTGTGAATTAATAGCGAGTCAGCTTACTTAGGAACAACATTGGTTTGTCATACTACCTGCCTGGCCTCCTTTTTTTTGACATTCTAACTCTACCCTGACTGAATCCTTCAAAGACTAATCCGGTGTAAGAGCACGAAGATTCATTCACAGATGTTAATTCTTGGGCTGTTACTCAGCTGTCTGGAAATAGCCACAAACTGTCTTGGATGGCTTCTATTGCATTGTCTAATGGTCTAATTAGACATTTGAAACCAAAACCACAAAAAAGTGAGTTGGAAAACACACACACACAGAGAGAGAGAAAGAACAGAAGGTGCACACACACACACACATACACACACACACACACACACACACACACACACACACACACACACACATGGTGTCTCCTACTTTCTTTTAAAAGATTTATGTGAATGTATCCATGTACGTGTATATGCACATGTGTGTGGGCACCACAGGAGTCCAGAAGAGACCATAGGTTGCCCTGAAGGTGTAGTTGTGAGCTGCCTGATGTGGATGTTAGGGATTGAACCCCAGGCCTCTGTAAGAGAAGCATAGGCTCTTAACCACGGAGATACCTCTCCAACCCCCTTTTTAGAAAGTTAAGACTTCTCATCCCTCTTGTCAGTGTGACTCTCTACTTAGCAATGTGACCTGTCCTGGATCTTTGTCCATAGGCTGACTTGTGCTTCCGAATGTCAGGGAGACTTCACTAGCTGGATGTCCTGAAGGCTGAGTCAGGAAGGAGCAACTACGTAGATGCTTGTTCTCAGACCAGTGGGTGTGCACGCGGAAGATTAAGTTTTAGGTGAGACAAAGTACCTACCTGTGTGGACAAAACTAGCCTGCAACCTGTGCATCGTTCATGCTGTGACAGGGCACCGAGGGTGCCTCTTCACACTGTCAGAGATGTGTCACAGGCTTGAAATACGTGATGTCTGGCAAAAAAAATAATGCAACGACTAGCTAAAATTATTCATAGTTTTAACTCTGGGCCACCATCCTTTCTGATAGCTATGTGACAAAAATCACTGACTCCTGTATGGAAATCAGATTTTCTATAGCCAGTCTAATACAAAGGGGTTATACATCCCCCAGTGAATGCCCACACCCATTAAAATGCAATTGTGGTTATTGAAGAACAAGGGGGTAATTTTTCCTTTAATGCGTGTGTGTTTTGCCAACAGTACTTAACTTGTGCTGATGTAAGTTATAATGTTCTATGGGAATAACTAC